GTCCCATCCCTGGTGGAAGAGCTGAGTATTTGACAAGCATCCCTGGCATTCTCATTCACGAGGTCCCCCTTGCAGAAAAAAAGGCCGATAGGGTTCTTCGTCTGTATCTTCCTCGCCCCGTGAGGCCAGCTGTCCGATTTCGCCTCGCTAAGACTGGCCGCCGGCTGAATATTCTTGATCTCGATAGCTTGATCATGGTCGCTTGGAGAGCTTCCATGAAGGTCACCCCCTCGGTCTTCGCCTCTCCCCTTTTACGATTGTTTGGAACGCGTGGTGCACGACAGGCTGATTTCGATGCTCCACTCAGGCGTGTCTGGCGTGTGGCCTCGAGACAGGCGACACTGTCAAGCGTATTTTGGAGTGCCCCCGTTTCGACATGTTAAGCATTTTCCTGCCCCGTATATCCTCTTCGTTTTGTCTTGCCCGAGGTTCCGCTCGAATTCAGATCAACCGTTTTTCCCGATTTCCGATAATGCCTTGAATTCTACCGTACTGTTCCTAGACATGTGCTACCACACATGCATAGCCACCTGCGCCAGGCCAAATTGTTCCATCGTTGCCGTCGCCCAGGCCAGAGTCAATCAGGTAGTCGAGTGGCGCGGCGACCTCTGCCTTCTCATCGGTGTCGGCCCGCAGGCGTCGCCGCCGCTGCCCGTCGGCGGAAGGTGCGGGATTCGAGGCTCTGGAGTTAGCGCGGGTCGTGTAATTCCAGAGCTTCCTCTGGGCAGTTGATCTCCTCCTCTTCTCCTCCTCCTCCACCTCTTCCTCCTCCTTCTCGTGGAGTTCCAGGTCGTGCTGGATGACGTGTAGGCAGATCTTCGCGATGCGGGTGAGGAGTTGCTGGAGGACGCGGGATTCTGGCATATTGCAAGCGAGATGCCGCGCGCGGGGGCCATGGGCTTGCTGTCGGAGGGTGGCTCGACCTCTCAGTGGGTAAGCTGCCCCGATACGCCCATGTAAAAACGCAGCACGTACTGCTGTGCTCATAACGTCAGTGTGAATACGCAGCGTGTTGGCTCGGCGCGTGTAGGTCTATATTTTGGCAAAGTATCTCGCTGGACCTACGTTTTCAGTATCGTGTTGAACTCCGTGCCAACACGCTGCGTGTTGCATGTTGCGTATCGGGGCGTTTAAGCATACCATGTAGCCAACCGGCAAACTCAGGGTGAGCAGCTTTCCAAGGTTACCCTTGCATCCTCTCCCATGCGGGCCATCCCTGGCCGCGCCCCGTTCGCAGAGTGTTGGCGTGGCCTTCCAAGGCCCTCGCGTCCTTATCGTGCGTCCTTGTTGTGCGGGCTGATTGTACTGTAGGCAGCGATCCGAAGCGCATGGTCCTTGTGTGCCCCAGCTGGGCGAGCCAGCACACGTGCAAGACATCTTTCCCGCATTCTGCGAGGTCTTTGGTGGGGGGGGCGCCGAGGGCGAGCGTTCGTGCGCGAGGGCTGCGACTGAGCGAGGCCGTGCGTCGCCTCCCGATGTTTCAGCCTGGCGTCGATGTGGCTGGTGATTGCGAGTCCTCGTGTGGCGAACTCCTGTCCCCAGGAGAGAGGTGCACTGCTAGACTGTGGCGGGGCGGCGTTACCTGTAGGGCTACGCTGCCGTAGTGGGGGTCGATGTGCTTCCACATCGGTGTGCCTCCCGAGCGGGTTTCGGGGATAGCAATACAGTCCAAAACAGTCATCCTCCTCGTCCTCTTCCTCCTCGTACTCCTCCTCCTTCTCTCTTCATCCCTCCTCCTCCTCCTCCTCATCCTCCTCCTCACCCTCCTCCTCTTCCTCTTCCTCTTCCTCCTCCTCCTCCTCCTTTCCTCCTCCTCCTGTTCCTCCTCCTGCTCCTCCTCCTCCTCCCCCCCTCCCCCACCTTCTCCTCCTCCTCCTCCTCCTCCTCGTCCTCCTCCTCCCTCACCTCCTCCTCCTCCTCCTCCTTCCCTCCTCCTCCTCCTCTCGAATATTTTTCAGCAGTTTCTCCTTTCGCTCCACTGTCTACCTCCTCCTCTTCGTCCTCCTCCCTCTCCACCGTTCTCCCCCTTTCTTCGCCGCTGTTTCGCCCCCGTCTTCGCGTTGTTCCTCCCGCTCCTCTCTCCTTCCTCACCCTCCGTCGTCGTCGTCGTCCTCCCTTTACACGCCGGTCGTTGAAAGTTCAGTCGGCCCGGATCAGCAGGTGGACTCTGCCAAATTAAGGGTATTTTTGTGTTCTGAGCATTGCGCGTCGTGTCTTCTGAAGTCCTGCGGCAAGGGAACCATTGTGTCCTGTGATTTTGGAGGCTATTTTGCCAGCGGAAGAGTCTTGTGTCCTGTCGCGTGACTCGTGCATTCAATTCTGCCTGTAGGTATTCTTGGGTTCCCAGATTCCAATCCACTTTAACCGCCTTCCTACAGAGTCGAGAGGTTTTCCCTCTTCCCTCCTCTTCAGGTTCCACTTCCAACGCCTTCCTACTTCATGGGTCTGCCCACTTCTTCCGACCGACGGGTATCTCAGGACTCAGGATGCGGACCCTTGGTTCCCTCCATGGGGATGCGGCCCTCGAGCATAGGGCGTTTGAGGACGCCACCCCTCCGGAGGGAGAGGAGGCCTCAGCAACATCCCGGCGGCCCCACGAAGCCGGGACGGTGAGCCGCCAGAGTGCGCCGTGGGGCCACACCTCCCAGCGATCGACGGGCGAGGCCTCCCCCGAAACAGCCCCAGACGCCCCGACACGCCCCACCTCGCTTTTTGCTTCTGGACGGCGCAGAGCGCTGGGCGGTCTCTTGCCCGAAGTGCCTGCGGGAGGTGGACGGGGGGAGGAGAGCGAGGACACGATGTGCAGAAGGAGGGGGGAGGGATGCGGGGGGCGCGCTGCGGCGGTGCGGCCAGCGTCGGCCTCGGCCGCTCAGCCGCGGAGAAGACTCCCGGTGCGGATGGCGTCGCGAAGATTGTCTGGGATCGTCGGCGCCCTTGGAACGACGCAGCGCCTCCTGGTGCCGCAGACAGTGAGCTCGTCTCCAGAGGAGCTCTGGGCATCGCCGAGGCCAGGAATGCCGAGGGCGCCCGCGCTCTCGTCTGGGTCCTCGTGGCTGGCGTCCGCGTCGGGCTGCGCCGCCGGCGCCAGCGCCGCCTCCTGCGTCGCCCTCTTGGCCGCCCTCCTGTGTGCCGGCTGGCCCTGCCTCCGCCAGCCGCGCCGGCGCCAGGGGCCTTCGCCTGGGGCTCCGCGTCGTGGCCGCCGTAGCCCTGCCGCCGCTCGTCCAGCTGCGCGCGAGGCGCGGTGGGGTGGTGCCTGCTGCCCCCGCCAGCGCCGTGCTTGCTGCCCTGGCCGTCGTGCTCCGCGCGGTGCGCCTTGGCCGCCCCTGCGGCCTGGTCGTCGGAGGAGCTCTGCTGTTTGCCCATCCCCGCGTGGAGCCCACTGGGGTTGTGCATGCTGCCCCCGCCAATACCGCGCTCGCTGTCCTGCTTGCCGTGCTCCGCGCGGTGCGCCTCGGCCGCCCCTGCGGCCTGGTCGTCGGAGCACTCCTCCGCCCCGTGCTTCGAGTCGTGGCCGTCGTAGCGCTGCTGCTTGCCCATCTCCGCGTGGAGCCATGTGGGGTTGTGCCTGCTGCCCCGCCAGCGCCGCGCTCGCCGCCCTGGGCGTCGCGCTCCGCGTGGTGCGTCTCGGCCGGCTCCGCGGCCTGGTCGTCGAAGCGCTCCTCCGCCCCGTGCCAGCTTCGCGTGGGGTCCAGAGGGGGTGCGCCTGCTACCTCCGCCATCGCCGCGCTTACAGTTCAGCTTGAAATTCCGCGCTCCATTGTGCGGTAGAGCTGGGAGAAACCGCTAAATCACGCACTTGGGGATGAGCTCCTGCGCTTCTGGGTCAAGAATAGTGTAGTCTTTCTTGGTTTCGTATCTGTGCACTGCCCGATGTTCGACTGCAGTGGCGAGAAATGTTGCCTCCAGTTCGGCCAGAAACTGTTGGATTCCATGGGGCAGTGATGTGCCGAAAGAAGTGGAACGCAATGTCAAGAGAGCCCGCTCGATGCCGACCCAGCCGGCTGCGCAAGCCGTGCGCCTTGCTGCAGCCCTGGAGGTGCGACCCATTAGCAGTGGACAGGCGACTCAAAACGGTTCCATTGACTTCAAGGACAATATCCGCCATGCGCCTGTGGAAGCGGGGACCCAAATATTGATATTCATGTAACGTAGACAGTGTTCTAACAACACGGGCCGATGCCTGAGCAGCCCGCTGGGCCAGCTCTTGTGCCAAAAACAGTCACGGACCTCAGTCAACCTCCTCCTCCTCCTCCTCCTCCTGTCTTCTACCCTGTAACTCCGAGGCAGAAGTCGACTTTCCTCAGCCTGGCACGAGAGCTGCCTGCCTCCCACTCCTCCTCATTCCTCCCGCTCTTC